ACTTTTAGTCTTCTCACAAAAAAAATTTCAAGGTATTATTAAATTGATTGAAGTTTATTTATGAAAAGGTTTTAAAAATGCATGGACATAAGTTCAAGTTTATTATGAAAGTGGTTCAAGTTTAAAAATAAGAACAGTTTTAAAAAGGAGGAAGAAGAATTTTGAAATTAAAGAAGAAGGGAGGAGAAGAAGAGACTATCCTAAAGCATAAGGTAAAAGCTAAGGATAAGAACCATCTAACCAACAAGAAGCCATTACTTAATATTATGAGTTAAGATAGATTTCCAATTCTTTGGATTGAAACCAAGAAAGCAAAGATACTAGACCTCTTAAGAGAACCAAACTTCAAATGTATTAAGTCTTCACAAAAATTTGGTAGAGTAACGACTGTATACGAATGAATTCTAGATCACAAACAAAGTATGTAATCACAATAACCTGCACACAAATAAACAACCCAATATCTTGAGGTAAACCTCAAGAACTGCAGACAAAATATCAATTAAGGTCACAAGGTCTCCAACATAGGCCAAGGTTTCTAATCCTAAGTCCAAGAAGTCCAATACTCCATAATGCCAAGGATAGTAACCAAATAGTCCAAGTATCGTTAAAGATTTTTATGGTTCATGTTGATTATTAGGTATCTTCAAAAAGAAAAGAAAAGCTCAATGAGAAAAATAGAAATGACAAGAATATAAAGGTGCTCAAGTAAGCAAAGATAAAAATAACATGAGATGTAAATGCTAAAAGTAAATAGTGCATAAAATAAAAGAGCATAAAATAAAAGCACAAAATAAAGTCAATTATCAACAATTAGTGGTTAGTTGGATGACCATCTTGAATCTTGCATTTGGAACTCATTAGAGATTGGTAGAACCAAAGCCTCCACACAACAAGTTGCATTTGCTTTTCGTCAAGTATATCATCTATTTTGGAATCCTCAAAAGTACCTTTTAAGGATTAATGATGTTTAAGTGATCCGCATTGACCAAAAGTGATATAGATCCATTAGAGGATTGGTAGAACCAAAGCCTCCACACAATAATTCTCAAGGTTATTGGATCAAAGAGATCAAATTAACATACTTGGACTTGCAAACATAGGTTTAGGCCACGAATGATCATTTATTCGAATCGAGACAAAATTTAGCGCTATGTTAAGCAATCGTAAGTGGACTTATATAGAAGTCGCACCTATTTTGAGGCTGGTCAATAGCAATCTATGCACTATTTTTTTGAGACAAGATATAGAGATCATGCTCCAATAATATTTAGTGCAATAAGAAAGGATAAGATGAAGAAGGGTGAGAAAGAATATACAAACCACACTTGAATTAAAATTTAATCAAACTATTATTAAAATCATTCATCCATTTTTATGGAGTTAGACTCAACATCATGGATCCAATGATGTTAACAACGTTCATGATCAAAAATTCAACCCAAGATCATCCAGAAAATAATCATAAAATAATATTACATTTAATATATACATTAAAAGGCTTTTTTTAAATGTTTTAAAAATAGAAATAAAAGATAAAAATATCAACAATGTTTAAATTATTCAAGAAAATTTTGGTAAGACCATAGAAAAATCAGAAATGAACTCAAATGTTTTTATAAAATTTTTGGTAGTTTTTTAAAGTCACAAACTATTTTTAAAAATTAAAAGAAATGAGTAAAATAAACCAAAAATGATCAAAAATAACAAAGTCAGAAATAAAAAATAAATGAGGTCACCAATATTTGTCACAATATCATTGGATCATCCCATAATTTTTTTCAGAATTTAAAAATGCATAAAAGTATTTTTAAACATTTAAAACAATTCAAATAAATTGAAAATTTATAAAAAATATGAAAACACGAAATAAAATTGTAAAAAAATAAAACACAGAAAGAGGAAAATCAAAAATATTTTTCATAATTTTTTCTGATTTTTTGGACTTAAAATGAATTTTCTAGGATTTTTTGAAGTTTAAAACAATTAAATATAAAAATCAGAAAATAAAATAAAAACCAAAAAGATGTGGACCAATGGATGAGAGTCAAAACGCGTTAGTAATCAAATCCAAGGGATCTGGCGTACTGTGCATATCATGGTCATTACTGAATAAAGCATTAGATCCAATATAAAATCAAAAATTAAAAAAAATTAAATGGTGTTGTTTCATTGGTTGAAGGATGACACGTTGGTCATCTTCAACCTCCAGCCAGTCTCAAAACCAGGTCACTCAAACTGTAAAATTAGAGCACGACACCTATGTCATTCGCTTCGTCTCATCAAGACGAAGACAACCACACCTTTGTGAAAAAATTATATAAACTGTAGATCAAGCAATTTAGAAGGAAAGTTTTGAAAGGGAATTTAAAAATTCATGGCCAAAATGTGTTTCCAATTAAAGGAGGTGTTGCAACTAGAACCAGGGCAATGAGAGCTTCACAGTGATATCAAAGTTTGAAAGAATTGATGGAGAAATCTACCTATTGAAGTTGAGTTGCAGAGCTCTGAAACTGGACTTCTATGGATTAATATAGGTCACGATTCTTGAAGGTAATTATATGGTTAGCTTCAGGGAAGATCAAGGAAGGTGAATTGATTGAAAAAATGGATTGAAAAAAGCTTGAACACTGATTTCGAATTTGCAGAAAAGTGGGTTATGCAATGAGTTTGGCAGGGTGATTTTAGATGTTCAAGCTTGAGGAAATGAATGAGGGATGACCCTCTATTTATAGGGAATCAAATGGAATGTTCAAGCGTGTGAAATTATGAAGTTTGGAGGGAAATTGTGTGAAGTTACGAAAAAGAAAAGTGTGACTTCTATTTTGATCAAAACTCATCCAAAACGCATGTTTTGCTATGCTAATCACTTCTGGAAGATCACTAAACATGTTTAGAAGCAAAAACGCACAGAAAAAAATATGTTTAGAAGCTAAATCAAGGATTTCAAATTCTGACTTTTGAAGAAACTTCAGTTTCAAGCTACCAAGTTCAAATCAATGTCATTCTCAGCTCAAGGGGTCTTAGGGCATGATTCTTGAAGCGTTAGAAAGATGAGGTTACAAGATTTGCAATGGAAAAAGAATGGAATTAAATGGATGTTTGAGATTAAATTTGTAATGAGTCAAAGTTGGGAAAAAGAAGTTCACTTTCCATATTTAGAAATATTTCAAGTTTTTCTTCAAAATTGACCTATAATATTTTGCATCCAAATATGGCCTTTCACTTAGAATTTGATCTTGACCAAAAAAGATGGCATGAAATATACCTCTAGAACGACATTTTGAAACTTGAACCATTCAAAATATCCAAAAATTGAGAGAGTTATGAATTGTTGAAGTTGGCGAAAAATCATGAAATGACCTATAATCTTTTGTATCCTTAAGGTATCCTCCATTCATTTTCTCACTTTATATATAAAAGAAGGAATAAAGTTCACATCCTCAAGATCATTGTGGAAAAAGAGTGGGCTCAAGGTGATAAAAATTGAGAAAGTTATGATCATTTGAAGTCACATGAAGAGATTTGAGGGTTCATCTAGATGACTTGTAATCTTTCTTCATCATCAAGTTTCTTCCATATGAAAAATCCTTGAAACTTTTAAAGTGATTTGTTAATAACCCTTTGAAGAGAAGGATGTTTTAGGAATCACTCCAAAATACTAAAAGATGAGCAAGATATACTTCTTTGAAGTTCAAAACCCTAGCTCCTAGATCAAGAAAATGCTTTGAGGAACTTTGACAATTTTAAACAACCTTCTTGTACCAACAATTTTTCTTTGTAGATAGAAGATGTTGAGGATGATAATGAGAACTCATAGCAACCAAAACAACTTCTATATCTTGAGAATTGAGAGAAATGTGTACTTGTGACCAATGGGAACAAGGCCTTGTCCAACCATGACAACTTCTTCAATCAACCTCTTGTACTTTTGAATCAATTTTGATAACTTTAAAATGTGGTGAACCAAAATAAACCTCGCCATGCCATTTCTTCCAAATCAACTTCAATGGTGAGGTTTGAATTTCTCAAGCTTTATTGACTAGGGCATGGAAATAAACTCATGAACCCATGGATCAACTTGCTAAGCCACATTGCCTTTACCTACAATATTAACAAGTAACACAAGCTCACATTGTATTTTATTAATTAAAAGGAAAGTCAAAACAAAATATGTATGATCACAAAATAAAAATAAGTCAAGGTGCTTGGTGATTCCTCAAAGAGAAAACTAAAGATAGGGAGGAGAATCAAAAGCCCTAATGTGATCTTGTTGTGATTGAATCAATATGGTATGATGAAGGGATCTTAGGGACAAAAATTAGGGTACAACATATAGTACATACTACAAGATGTAGCAAGTATACCCTAGAAGCTGCCTCAAACATACCTTAACTCACTAGCTCGCCATACCTATCACACAACCAAGATAGACGAAAGTGAGCACTCCTCAAAAACCTAAACTCATATATCATATGCGCCTCTGTAACCCTCAAGTAATCTACAACATTAAAATGTGCGGTCTCCTAACTAATGATAGGAGTAGTGAAGAAACTACCTGCCAGCGGAACATGGAAAAGTGATGAGACATCATCCAATATAATCTTCATCTCACAAAATGGAAGATGGCATGAAGATGTCTCCTTGTGCCATCGCTCAAACAAGACAGTCTAAATTGAAGCATCAAGCATGTTAAACAAATAGTTCACCAAAGGAAGGAGACTGCACTCATCAATTATCGTCTTCACCTCTAGTGGCGTCACACCATCACAAAACTTCTTTACCTTCATCTTATGGGTGGGAACCTTAAGCAGAATACGATCCTATAAAAACAAAAGAAAAAATATCAATTAATTTTTAAAGTATCATTAATAAATAAAGTAACATCATAGACATATCATATACATACCTCTCCCTGCCATAACCTGAAAGACACATGATCTGCATATCCTGTGAGAACAAAAGTATCAATGGGACCATCGAGAAATCCCCTGCCAATGCTACAGACGGTTTACGACATTATCAGTGTGTCTCTCAACATGTGGAGTAACCTCCACATCATCAATATGCGATACCTCATCAGCCGTGTACAGAATATGCACCTCAATAATTTTCTCTAGAGTAACCTCTGTCTTAGAAGTATGATGCACATCTGGCGGATGAGGTACATCTTCCTCTACCACCATTTGAACATCCTCCTGAACTGGTACAGAGGGTGCCTGAACATCAACTGACTCATCCTAATCACCTCTCGCCCATCCAACAACAAATCTAGATCCTCTATGTATGATCGTGTGAGGTGCACGAAACTGATCTTGATCAACCAATCGCCTCCTATGAAAGTTGGTCGGTGCCACTATCCTTGTCTTGAGATGCGAGTCCTCCACATCGACTCGCATATCTCAACCCCTCGCAGCAACTACTAAATCACGGCCTCTACCGAAAATTAAACCATTTGTGCCTATGGTCTTCACTACAAAACAAAAAAAAACAAAATTGTATAATCTACTGGACTTTTCAAAATATCCGAAAATTAGGAACCTTCCAGATATTTCAAAATACGTGGTAACTAATAAAATGATACTTTCAAATTTTTCTAAATATCCCAGTTAACATCCAAATTTTTTTAAATGTCAGTTTGATTCTGTGCATTTTTCTTGAATATCTTGGAAAAATCCGGAAAAATATATGCATATTTTTGACACTTTTCAAAAGATCGGGAAGAACTTATGCTTTTTTTTTTTAAATATTTCGAAATTTCCAATTGAACGGAATGTATATTTACTGGACATTTTCAAAATATCCGAAAACATATATATTTATACTGGACATTTTGAAATATGCAAAAAAAAAAATTATCAAATATCCGGAAAAAAAATACAAAATATGCGATAAAAAACCATACTTGTTATCCAACGCAAAATGTACGGAAGTTACTCTGAAAAAATCTAAAAACATAAGATTTTCAATAAATATGAAGTTGTCCAATTATTTTTGTGAAAAATAACATAAAGTTGTCCAGAGTTATTATGGTAAAATCGCAGATTCCTCCACTTAAGACACATTGATGACCAATGCCCAGTGATATAAGCCTTTGTTCAACATCATGGCTTTTATATAACCCATCTCTCTTGTCTTGCATCATTTCATATGGTAGTTAAGTCTCAATAGCCACCATAAAATATCCTACATATAGATACAGTATTTTCTTTTTGTGAGGAAAAACTTCACCTATACGGAATGAGATATCAAGTCAACTATCACATATTGAAAACAAAACAAAAAACCTTACCGACTATAAAAAAAAAAAGGAAAGAAAAGACAACACATAAAAAAAAAACCATAATGAATGAAAAATATAATTTATGAATAATTTATGCATCACAATAATATAAAATAAATAATTTACACACCTAATAAATACATGAAAGTCAATAGCATCAAAAACTTGAATGGAGGTTCTTGTCCATCACTAGAAACTAGAAAGAAAAAAAAAACCTCCAATCCAAGAGAACCTCTCATCATCATCCATGGCAGGAGTAGCAGCTCTCAAGAAGAACAACTCATTCCACAAGAAAGACAATCCAAATCTTCTCTTAGGCCGTTTCGAATTAGGAAAACTCCTTGGCCATGGAACTTTTGCCAAGGTCCACCTAGCTAAAAACCTCAAAACAGGTGAAGCAGTAGCTATAAAGATCATAAGCAAAGACAAAATCCTTAAAAGTGGTTTAGTTTCACACATCAAACGTGAAATCTCCATTCTCCGCCGTGTCCGCCACCCCAACATCGTGCAGCTCTTTGAAGTCATGGCGACGAAGACAAAGATCTACTTTGTAATGGAATATGTACGAGGTGGAGAGCTTTTCAATAAGGTTGCTAAAGGTAGGTTGAAAGAAGAGGTTGCTAGGAAGTATTTTCAACAGTTAATATGTGCGGTTGGGTTTTGTCATGCTAGAGGTGTTTTTCATAGAGATATAAAACCTGAAAATTTGTTGTTAGATGAAAATGGTAACCTTAAAGTTTCCGATTTTGGTTTGAGTGCTGTGTCGGATGAAATAAAGCAAGATGGGTTGTTTCATACTTTTTGTGGCACACCTGCTTATGTTGCTCCTGAGGTTTTGTCTAGAAAAGGTTATGATGGTGCTAAGGTTGATATTTGGTCTTGTGGTGTTGTTTTGTTTGTTTTGATGGCTGGTTATTTGCCTTTTCATGATCCTAATAATGTTATGGTTATGTATAAGAAGATTTATAAAGGTGAGTTTAGGTGTCCTAGATGGTTTTCTCCTGAACTTGTTAACCTTCTTACTAGGCTTCTTGATACTAAACCTCAAACTAGGATTTCGATCCCCGAGATTATGGAGAATCATTGGTTTAAGATAGGTTTTAAGCATATTAAGTTTTATGTTGAGGATGATGTTGTTTGTGATATTGATTCTCTTGATCTTGATGGTAATGATGGTAATGTTGATAAGAAGGTGCTAAACATCGATGAACATCGCGATGAAGTATTGGAATCGGTATCAGAATCAGAATGGGATACTGAGGTTGTGAATAGAAGGAAGAGTCGTCAGCTTGGTTCGTTGCCACGGCCTGCGAGTTTGAATGCTTTTGACATTATATCGTTTTCGCAAGGCTTTGATCTTTCTGGATTGTTTGAGGAAAAGGGCGATGAGGCAAGGTTTGTTTCTGGTGCGTCGGTGTCAAAGATTATGATGAAATTGGAGGAAGTTGCTCAGTTGGTTAGTTTCAAAGTGAGGAAGAGAGATTGCAGGGTTAGCTTCGAGGGTTCGAGAGAAGGGGTAAAAGGGCCATTGAGTATTGCTGCTGAGGTATTCGAGTTAACACCTTCTTTGGTTGTTGTTGAAGTGAAGAAAAAAGGAGGGGATAAAGTTGAGTATGATAGATTTTTAAACACTAAATTGAAGCCCGCTTTGCATAGTTTAACTATAGAGGAATCTGCAGGTTCTTCATGTCAAACTACACCAGATGAAACATTGCAACAACGCGCATTTTCCGATTCTGCCATTGACAAACATTCAGATAGTATCGAATCTCTGAACTTCGATTCCTGAAGAATGAATGACCTATAATAAGATAAAAAGGGTATTTTGTTTTCTATGTTTTTATAGGCTTTGTATTTATGGTACTTATAATTTCTGTCACTTTTTTCTCCAGGATTGTCCTGTTTTTTTGTTGTGTATGTCCTAATGTTGTTAAATGTATGCCAATTCAATTTTAATATACTCAATAAAATAAACATGTTCTGTTTTGGCACATTAGTTCTTGTATGCTGCATTTTATATGTTTTGATTCTTTTGTTCAAGCAATGAGAAATCAACATGGCACAACTATAACTTGGTAGGTTATCAATATCATACCGTGTGTCTATGAGTGTGGTGTATATAAAACCAAATCAGGTTAAGAATCCAGATCTTTTTCTTCCACCAGCTTGTAAAGCAAAGGAAAACAAAAGTTTTCTATAAAGGGCTACGTTCATGGACGCGTTTGTTTCAATCATAAAAATAGATTGATTGGTTGTGAAAATAATAAAAACCTCACCCAAGCTTTCATTATACTGACCCTACACAGTTACAAGTGGGTGATCTATTGATGGACCATATTTCATATAGAAGAACACACACCGTAGGTTTGGTTGAAGAATGACCCTACAAATTTACATGTGGAGCCTATTGAGAATTGACTATCTAGCTCAAGTGTACCTAGTGTGAATAGATTCTAATAAAGAAACATTTACTTTTGTTGTTTGTATTCCTTTTATATATATATTTTCAATTTCAATCCTTGTATTTAAGTATATAACTCTTGGTTTGAAGAAGGCATGGCTTGTAATAGTTTCATTCAATGATTGAATTTGAAAAGACCTGTATAGAAGAAGTTGCATGCTTCATTGCGACCATGATGATGATAGCAATAGCAATAGCAATATATGATAAATCAAGATTTTTTACATTTCAAGATTCATCAACAAAAGTACAAATGTTCATCAGCAAAAGTACAAACAAATGTACAACAACACCCCACTTGCAGCAAAATAACTTAACACACATCCTTTGGTACACAAGAACAGGTATGGTATTTTAATCATATGGACTTTCAAAGGAACAAATGGAATTTAAGAAGAAAAGAATTTTCTGAGTTGCAAATACCATCACAAAGCTATATATACTCTGTCAGCTTGGTTTAGGGTAGAGAGAGGCTTTGATTTGCAAAACACAAACTTATGTCGCCTCCACTGATAAGATTTCCAATTCGGCCCACCAGAGTGGAGAAAGTCTCGGCACGGCTTGCTCGGGCATTATATTAAGCACTTCCCTCAATTTGCAAATTATTTCTTTCATTGTTGGCCTTAACCTTTGATCAGATTGAACACATTCTTTTATTACCTCACATATCACATCAAGTTCATTGTCTTTGAATGACTCGAGCGTTGGATCGATCAAACAGCCGATGTTTCGCTTATCATTCAAGAACTCGGAAGCCTGACATATTGGTAAAGATTTTCATTTATCAAGAGGCATTCAAGAATAAATTTGCGCCTAGAATTCTAAGAAAAGGGTGCGAATTCGAAACTTACCCAATTCACAAGATGGCCTTGTTCTTCAGAATAAGGTAGTTTCCCAGAAATGATTTCGAGCAACAGTATTCCAAAGTTATAGACATCGGTTTCAGGACCTTGATGGGGTGGCAACTCGGATTTCTTAGAATCGTCTCCAGTTGTGCTGGTAGGAAATCTATTAGTGCCAAAACTGATCTCTGAAATCTGAGAGAGCGCAGTAAAACGGAGAGTTGTTATATATCATATAACAAGATAAAAGCGAACAAAAGAGAATTGACGAAATGTGTATTTACCTTAGCCGCAAAGTCATCTGTTAACAATATTGAAACTGAATTAAGATTGGAATGAGAGACTGGTGGGTTCAGATCATGGTGCATGTAATGAAGACAATAAGCTGTGCCCATAGCAACCCTCATCCTTGCACTCCAATCAAGGTGTTCAACGTCCTTAACTGAAAAATAAAGAGACATACAAAATGTGACTCTTTTTATTTTACGAAGAACTCGAGCGTCTAATTGACTTAGATTTTCAGACTTAAATAAAAATGTGTTACCATGTAGATGCTCATATAAGCTTCCGTTTGGAGCATACTCAAACACCATCATCCTTGTGAATGGTTCGTCTTCATCACAGTAACCAATAAGATTGGTAAAGTTCTTATGGTTAACACGGGATAGAGCAGCAATCTGAAAGCATGTAACCAAATAAATTAGCTATGGTTATGTCTGAAACACGAGAGTCCCTCTATCGATTGAATTGAAACTCTCCGTGTTTTAATTTCCATAGACATAAGAAGGAAGAAAACCTTTCTCCTGTAGGCTATCTCCATGTTCTTTGACCAATCCTCAGTAGAATTAACAATAGTAGAATCAACAGCAATCTCGACTCCACTGGACAGTGTTCCTTTATATACGGTGCACTTCTCAAAACTGTTAATAATATTGCTGAAATCTTCACATGCTGTCTCCAACTCTGATCGATTCAACTTGGGGACCCCTGCATTTCATATAAGTGCAGATAATAGTTAACAAAAATTTCTAACTCGAGCGCGTATCCACCTAGTCCGGACATAATTCACTTATTGCAGTATTACCTGTTACAAATGCCTTTTGCAACTGTCCACTTATTCCTGTCTTCCAGGGCTTTATAGCTTTTGCAGCTCGTTTTCGCAAGACGCAAAGTATGATCGCAATAAAAATAACAGAGATAGCGACACCAGAGAAGATAATAATATATTTCCAGAGTTTTCTTGGAGCACCATTAGATGAATTTTGTTCACTTGTTTGAGAACCAGCAGATGAATCGAGTGGTGCAAGGGACTGATTTTGTTTCTTCTTGGGATCTGGCACAGCCGAGAAAGATCCACTACTTATGGTGATTGGAAGATAACTGATCTGTATAACGGGTCCGCCACTATAAGGTGCCGCTGCGAGGTTACTGGACTGATCAAGCAACCTACGACGTGCAGAACTGATTAGATCTGATAAATTTGAGCCAATCTCCGACTCGCCAGAACCTACATGATGTAAGGTATGTTTGGAAAGTCAATTAAAAGCATAATTTTCAGTTTTTCACATGCCACAAATCAATCAAAACTCTCCACTCACTAGGAAGACCAGCACAGTAATTCTCCTCGTAGCCATGAGAGGTAGCCTTTCCTAGATTGAACCTGTCAAATAAGGGAACAAAATTTAAGAATGATGAGCACGACGAAAGAACGAAAAATATGCATATCGAGATTGAAATTGGTAAAAAAAAAAGTTGTCAACATACAGTGGCAGAGCCATGGCATTAAGGTATCTTGTAAGTGCTCCTTTGATTGGAACAGCCAAAAACTCTGCCTTGTTCCATTGCTTGAGATCTCTATACCACGCGCTGTTCACACCACGCACCAAAAGGTAGAATAAATCTCGTCAACCATATGAAATACGCGACAAATTAAGAAAAGTATACAATCCCAGTGAATGATGCATATAAAATGATGCTATGCTTACCAGTGTGCAAACTTTCTATTCTTGCACTGAAACAAACTTGTCAGGGGAGACGAATAGTTGTCAATAACTAGCGATTTAGAAGGCAGTCCCATGTTGTCGAGCTCTTGAGAATCGCTACCTTCAAATTTATTGTCATGAACCAATCTACAGAAAAATAAAACACCATTTAAGGTATGCTGAGAAATCTTAAACAAATAGATAAGCTAATATATAGAGTTAACTTACAATTGTTTTAACAACATCCTCCCGGTTTCTGCGGGGATATTTCCAATCAAGTTATTCTCCCTTAAATCCAACAACTCCAGATTGTCTAGATCTCCAAGTTCTTTAGGAATGGCACCAGAAAAATTGTTCTTGCGTAACAGACTATTCCAAAGTAACAACATGATTAGAATCGGAATGGAATATAAGTTACTAGGTTATGTAAACTGAACTGTTGGAATTTTAAACTCGTGCGAAGAAGAATCCTTACATAGATTTCAAGTGATTAAGCTTCCCAAGATGAGGAGTTAATGTCCCTTCCAATGATAGCCCATTTAAGTCCCTAGAAGAAAAATTACAATACAGAAAATCCTATAAGCACAAAATTTTCAGCAGTGCATTTTCCTCAAATGAAAATGGAAGCTTTCTTTAGCCATCAAGAGGCGCTAAGTGTATTAAGCGAAAGGAACTTACAGTGTTTGCACTTTACCATCAACGCAACGAACACCCAACCAGTTGCAAGGGTCGGAATCATTTGGATTCCAATTTCCCAGAGCACCATAAGGATCATAAGTTATTCTTACTCGAAATTCCAACAAAGCAATTCCTGCAAATTCCAATCCAATCCAATCAAAACAAGAATCACAAATCAAGATACGACAAATGCATTGTAAAAGGTAAAATTGTAAAACATGAAAAATCACCTTCATCGTTCAGAGACCAACACCGTTGAACTCCCCAAAGAGAAATCAAGCCAACACAAACTCTGAGCCAAAATCCAAACCGGTCGAATATGCATTCCATTGCAGTAGGAAGGCAACAGCCACCGCCGTGAACTTGTATCGCTCTTTACAAGCCAGAAGCTATATGATATACGAAATCATATGTACAAAACTTGGCAGGTTTATCTGTATAGAGAAACCCTTCAGGCTTTTGAGATGAAAGTAACTAATAAACTAGGCAAAACTCGTATCCTACAACGGAAAGCAAAAAACAAATGCATCTCTTGGGTCCAAAGATAACAACAACTTCAGGGTCTCTCATATTTCAAATTTTTTTCTTCCTTACAACCTTTCCCTCAACAAATACATTACGAAGCTCAGTATATCTTCTTCTCAGATGATTCCAATAAAGTGGTTTGTTTGGTTTGCGCTGAAACAATTAACAAAATAAAGGCATAACAATGAAGGAACAAAGAATAACATAACCCTCTAAGCAAGCAAAACCAATGCATTTTAGATTCTTAAATCAAAAACAGAAAAAGCGAATTACCACGACGAAACGAAAAGGAATTCCTTCAAAGAAATCAAGAATGATGCAATGCAAGTGGTGGTGGGGAGTGGGGGAATGAGAACAAGCCTGAATGAATCAAGAAAAAAGGCAGCAATTAATCGTGTATGTGATTTAGTTAAACAAATAATTAATTAATCGATTATTATTATTATTATTGCAAACAATGATAATAATGAATAATCAATATAATTAGAAGTTTGTGATTTTGTTTCTTGTTGTAATGCTGCCTTTTTCTAAGATGATCTTAGAGGAATCTCTCTTCGATCATCTTCATCAGGTTTTGTCTCTTCTCTTTTTGTTTTTTCTTCTCTTTTCCCCCTCTCTCCTTCTCTCTATCTTAGGATGTTGGGTTAGTTTTTCTTTGTTGATTTCTCTCTCTCATCAATACCCGCGAAATTTTTGCGGTCTAAGAAATTATGTTTTCTAAAATTTGTTGTACGTGGGTCCCATTGTTCCCAATAAATCGGACGCGCTTTTATTGTGATATTCTTAAAATTAGTACCTTAATTCCAATTATTAATCTTTTGCAGGGACGTACTAACGGAAATGGTTGTTCGTGCTGTCACGAATGTAACGATGTCACTTGTTGTTAGAGACGTTTTGCAATTCTTTTAATTCTGTATTGGAAATTCAACTGGTTGAACATCCCATTTTCATCCTATATCACCTTGTTTAACTGTATCTAGTGTTAAAACTTTTGGGTTCATGTTTATCTTTATAAAATCAGTTTATAAATTAAAAAGTATTATTTCTTATAAAATAATTTAAAATTTTATATTATTTCGTGAAGAATTTTGGTTTTTTTTTTTCTTTTAAAAACCAGCTCATTTTAGATATTTTCACATAAATATATATATTTTCAAAATCTTTCACACTAAAATTTTCGAAAATAATTTTTTTTTTAAATGTTTGCTTGTATATGATTAGAGGTCAAAATGGATCCAATCCATTATGCCGATCCATAATCCTATAATTTAGTGTAGGTCGGTCTGCAAAAAAAAAACTTTAAAAAATTCAATTATATCTTTTTTCTACTCCGGCTCTCTCGAAGACTTGCACAACATGCTTAAGTGCAGAGGGAAATGAGCAAGGCATCTCAGGCTCCTTCTGCCTCTAGACAGGTTGTTCTAAATACGCGTACTACAACCTCTGCCTCCAGTGTTCCTATTTCTACTCCGACTTCATCGTCCTCCCACAGCATGCGAGATTCTCCAGTTCATCCCTCCCCACCTCCATCCTCCCGTAGATGCACTTCCTCACCAATGGTATTTGAGGTGGGAGAGACATCTGGTTCCCAGCCGACCAGAGGCCTAGCCACAACCTACATCTCATGCACTTGAGTCGACACCTAAGCCACCCCAGACATCCTAAGCACCTGAGTCACCCCATACATCACAACTTACATCCCAGGCACCTGAGTCGACACCTGCAGTGCCTCTGAGTTTTGGAGGAGGACCGTCTGATTTATCTATGTTGCCTCTGTACTCGGACCATGTTGCTAGACATATATGGGACAGAGAGGTATGAATTTTGAGTTATTTCTTCTATTACATTTTTATTATGGATTTTTGTTAAACCATGTATGCAGGTGCGTGATCTGCTGAAGGTCATTAATCATGGGCGGAAGATCAGTAAACTCGAACCCCCTGTTGAGCCATGGTTTGATGAGTTGTTGTTGCTTACAGGATTGAAAGATTTGACCAAGTGTGGTTATAGTGTCATTAATTGGGGTATGATTAACGCTTTTGTTGAGAGGTGACAACATGGGACGTCGTCATTCTATCTACCACATGGTGAGATGATGATCACACTGGACGACGTTGCGTCTCTGCTGCATCTTTCGATTAGAGGGACATTTTTAGATCATGACAGGATTGACAATGAGGAGGCGTTGGATATGTTGGTAGAGAAATTGGGAGTTACCCCTGAGAGTGCCATGACTGAGTTGGATTTTGTAACACCCTCTAAAAACCCCGAATAAATTTTCGCGATTAATTAAAATTATAAACTCAGAGTACATGTATCATCGAGGATGCTACAATTCTCTTTTTAATAAGACAAATTCCTGTCATGCATAATTTTAGTAGTAACTCATACATGTTTACACAGCGGAATACTTTAATTAATAAAATCAAATGTTATAATAATTTCCAATTCATCAGGGATTAACACCTGGAAAGTCAACATCATATTATAACAAATAAAAAGGGAATAAACGAGTCTGACTAAAGCAGCTCGACAACCAAACGTTCCCGGAGTTACAACTATCAGAGCATGACCCGGACATACTAAAACGAAACTAAACTAGACACGATAAGCCTTCGCCAAGCACCTGAACGAAGCTCCTTAATCTGAAATATGCAACAGTAAGGGTGAGCATCTCAAATATACATTTGGTTATACGTTCATAACAAATCAATTCATGAAATCATAAGCATCACCCAATAATTAGCATATTTCATAGTTTACAAAAACCTTCACAATTCATATATCCATAACATATTACTTTTCATATTTGCAAGTAATCATCAAACATCGTCAACCATTTATCAATCATACGTGCATACAAACAATCAGATACAACATTGGAAGAATCATCCATTCATGTTATATTTAAGTTAATGCAACACACCCATGCATGTGGTACCATTTTACCGCCCCATTAAATCTCGGGTCACGGATAACTCACCGTTCCATTATATCGCGGACACGGCTACCACCTCAACGTTCCATTAAATTGCGGACACGTATATTGGCCACCATGTTAATTCCACACAATGGGAATTAACAAATGCAACATGATATGTAAGTATGTAACACTCAGCATACTATGAACATCGATCAACATATCATGCACATCAACAATAACATGATATGAATAGCATGTAACCACTCAGCATACTATTTAAACATCAATCATATCAAGTTACGGATAGCATGTAATCACTCAGCATACTGTCTAAACATCAATCAATCACATCAAATTATATCATAGTTCATGCTCGATAACATTATCCAAAAGCATGGCAATAAAAATCCAGCATCAAAACACTGAAACCAAAATTCAGAAAAATCATCACAGCAGAGCAACACGGGTGCCCGTGTTGTGCAACACGGCCCGTGTTGTGCAGCACGTCCAGAAAACGCACATTTTATTTTTTATCAGTACAGGGGATCTGACACGGGTGCCCGTGTTGTGCAACACGGCCCGTGTCGTGCAACCATAGCACACCATCTCCCAACACAGAAGAGCAACACGGGCACCCGTGTTGTGCAACACGGCTCGTGTTGCTGAGCGCGTAACAGGATTTTCCTGAACCTGCAGCAGCTCAGAAACAGCAGTCCAAACGCGGGAAAACGCCCGCCAAACGCGTAATTCGGTACCTAACGACATCAGGTTTGTACAATTCACAACAACACCACCATATCCAAAATACCAACAATCATTATAGTAACCTTAACCGGGATTTAACCGTCCCTTTGGGGAAATCTACTGACACTGAGGTTATCCCTATAACTTCCAAGGTAAATTCACGATCATTAGATATACTCCCAATTCACCATTTGGGACCTAAAATTCCTAATCGATTCATGACAATTGGGAACCTGACCCTTTTCTAACAAGGTTCAATCCTAAGGGTATCGATTCCTAGAAACATCTAACAATTGGGGTTTCCCTACAATTACCCGAATCAACCGTACATAAACCCATAAACAAAGGTAAATCGAGTTATAGCCCCCCTTACCTTATCAATTAGCAGCTTTGAATTCTTGAGCGATGGTCTTCGTTCTTCGTTCTTCGTACCTTCAGAGCTCTATTTCCCCAAATTCCCAACTTCTGTTTATCGTGAAAAATGAGAAAACTAACTTGAGTTCCAAAACATAACTTTACTTCTTTTTCACCCCCACTCTTTACTAACAATCTCCAAGCCCAATAACTTAAAAACCCAGCATTTCTTATTTCTTTTATTTTCCTCATATTTCAAAATAAATAATTCCTTTTTATTTTATTAATCCTAATAAAATAATTTCCCAAATTTAAATAAATCAAATAATAGAAACTGGGGTGTTACAACTCTCCCCCACTAAAAGAGTTTTCGTCCTCGAAAACATACCTTAGACGAACAGTTCCGGATAAGCCACTTTCATCTGGCTCTCCAGCTCCCAAGTGATATTTCCATCTGCTGGACCTCCCCAAGCAACCTTCACTAATGCTATCTCTTTACCTCTTAACTGTTTCACTTCCCGATCTTCTATCCTCATAGGCAATGTTTCTACTGTCAGGTTATCTCTCACCTGTACATCATCTATTTGGATTACATGAGATGGGTCTGGAATGTATCTCCTCAGCTGAGAAACATGAAAAACATCGTGCAAATTCGCAAGTCTCGGAGGTAAAGCAATACGATAAGCAACTTCTCCAACTCTTTCCGTAATCTGAAACGGACCAATAAAACGCGGAGTCAACTTCTTAGATTTCAACGCTCGACCAATACCCGTCATCGGAGTAACTCTCATAAACACATGATCTCCAGCACTGAATTCTAAATTCTTTCTCCTCTTATCATGATAACTTTTCTGACGACTCTGAGAAGCTCTCATCTTTTCTTGAATCAATTTGATCTTTTCAGTAGTCTGCTGAACAATCTCTGGCCCAACTACCGAACTCTCTCCAGATTCATACCAACACAAAGGTGTTCTACACCGTCTACCATACAATGCCTCAAACGGAGCCATACCAATACTCGAATGGTAACTATTGTTATAAGTAAATTCAATCAATGGCAAATAGCTATCCCAAGCTCCACCCTGCTCTAAAACACAAGCACGCAATAAATCTTCTAATGATTGAATCGTCCTCTCCGTCTGTCCATCAGTCTGAGGATGGTAAGCTGAACTCAACCTCAATTTAGTACCCAAAGCCTTCTGCAATCCTTCCCAAAATTTCGAAGTGAACCTCAGATCTCTATCCGACACAATACTAGAAGGAACTCCATGTAAACTCACTATTTTCTCAATATATAACTGTGCCAATCTCTCCATTGAGTAATCCATTCGCACCGGTATAAAATGAGCAGACTTAGTCAACCTATCTACAACGACCCATATCGCTTCACAATTCATAGGAGTCCTCGGCAACCCAGATACAAAATCCATCGAAATGCTATCCCACTTCCATTCTGGAATAAACATTGATTGCATAAATCCAGACGGCTTCTGATGCTCAATCTTCGATTTCTGACAGATTAAACATGCATACACAAATTCAGTTATTTCCTTTTTCATTCCCGGCCACCAAAACAATTTCTTCAAATCATGATACATTTTCGTGGCACCCGGATGAATACTCATCCCACTGCGATGTCCTTCCTCTAATATACTCTTCTTGATTTCTGCAACATCCGGAACACAAACTCTATCGCCAAATCTCATAACATCATTTTCATCAATTCTAAACTCGCCACCTTGACCTTGGTTGATCAATGTCAATTTATCAACTAAATTAACATCAGATTTTTGCCCGATCCTGATCTCTTCTAGAATACCACTAGTAAGTTTCAACATACCCAAACGAACACACTTCGGAGTACTTTCACAAACTAAACTCAAATCTCGGAATTGTTCAATTAAATCCAACTCACGAACCATCATCATAGACATATGCAAGGATTTCCTGCTCAAAGCATCTGCAACCACATTTGCCTTACCAGGATGGTAATTCAAACCAAAATCATAATCTTTGAGAAACTCCAACCACCTTCTTTGCCTCATATTGAGCTCTTTCTGATCGAAAAGATACTTCAAACTCTTATGATCACTATACACTTCAAATCTCGAACCATACAGATAATGTCTCCATAATTTCAAGACAAACACAACTGCTGCCAACTCTAAGTCATGAGTAGGATAGTTCCTTTCATGAACCTTCAACTGTCTCGAAGCATACGCAACTACCTGTTGATTCTGCATTAAAACACCACCTAGACCCAACAGAGATGCATCGCAATAGACCATAAAAGATTCCACCGGATTCGGCAAAATCAGAATAGGAGCACTAGTCAATCTCCGTTTCAATTCTTGGAAACCTTTCTCACAATCAGAATCCCAAATAAACGCTTGTCCTTTACGAGTCAACTTCGTCAAAGGCAATGCTAACTTTGAGAATCCTTCGATAAACTTTCTGTAATAACCTGCAAGACCAAGAAAACTTCTGATTTCAGAAACAGTCTTCGGCGCTTCCCACTGAGATACCGCTTCTACTTTTGTAGGATCCACTGCAATACCATTCTTAGAAATCACATGTCCAAGAAAACTAACTTCATTCAGCCAGAACTCACATTTGGACAACTTTGCATACAACTTCCTATCTTTCAACAACTCTAACACAATTCTGAGATGTTCCGCATGCTCTTTGTCGTTCTTGGAATAAATCAGAATGTCATCAATAAAAACCACAACAAATTTATCCAGATACGGATGAAAAATCCTATTCATATATTCCATGAAAACACCAGGTGCATTAGTAACTCCGAACGGCATAACAGAATATTCATAATGCCCATACCTCGTTCGAAAAGCAGTCTTTTGAATATCTTCCGCTTTCACACGAATCTGATGATATCCAGATCTCAAGTCAATCTTACTGAATACACTGGCTCCAATTAGCTGATCCATTAAATCATCAATCCTCGGTAACGGGTACCGATTCTTAATGGTTACCTTGTTCAATTGCCTGTAATCAACACACAGTCTCATAGAACCTTCTTTCTTCTTAACCAACAATACCGGAGCACCCCAAGGCGAAACACTTGGACGAATAAACTTCTTCTCCAGTAAATCTTCCAACTGACTCTTCAATTCAGCCAACTCAGACGCGGACATACGATATGGCGCCATCGACACCGGTCTCGTACCAGGAATCAAATCTATAGAAAATT